TGAAGTGCACAGGTGAGGTACTTTGTGCTTCATCTGCTTTGCTTCCATACATGCAGCCTTGTATTTTACAGTGCAGTGAGCTGGACTTCCTGTGCCTACACCTTAATGTTCTCCTCAAAATCGTGACTAATTCTTTCATCATTCATTATTCAACAAAATACTCCAACACAAGAACAGACATATTCAGTCTTTCATGAGCTCTCAGCAGCCTCCAGAATATTAGTTGATTCATTTAACAAGCCACAGATGAAGTAAACATCTGTCTAATGATTCAAGACTGTGAGATTCCCTACTGTGGGAAACACCAGGAAAAAGCCATGGTGAATCAATCCAGGGATACACAGTGCAACACAGGCCCATCAGTGACAGCCTGCTGCATGAACCATTGGGTGTGGTTGCAAAAGATACGCAGCAGCTCAAAACCAACAGTAAGTACCCTTTGAAACAGGCCTAGGCTGACAGCATCCAGTAATGAGTATCATGGCTCTCAGGTGGATTCCAGCAGCAGTATCGAGGCATGCTGCACACTGGAACCACCACCGCCAGAAGAAAACCATGGACTGATAAATTGTCTGAATTGCACAAAAATAGCCCAACCCACCACATCTTTGCAGGAAGTATGAGCTAATTTATCAGTTCTTCGCTACCTTAGATTATTTAGCATTGTGACAGAGATCCACTCACAGAGATAACGGTAACTACAGGACCATACAAACTGTGACATCACCAAGATACACTTGCTAAAATATTTTTTTTATAAATACATGCATCCTAAATAACTGTGTGTTGATTCTCCCACCCTTATCACACTCTTCCTTATCTTTAGTAGCCAAATGTCTGTTTATTTTGGCAACATGTTGTTATACAATTCCATTCCCAAGGCTAAGATTCGTATTTTCTGTACAGCTGATGGATCTCCATGTCCATATTACGTATACCTATCTTTCTACATATAAATATGCAGCCCTCAGAGGAAGCAACAAGCTCCATGCACCTTGGTGAACCTGCAAAATTACTTTCATTTTCTGCTAAGTTCTCCAGAACAGATTTTTTCACTAAGGCAGTTTTCAGCTTCATTTGTATTAAGTCACTTGATCAGTAATAACTTCCCATGAGAATACCTCTATCATAAGAAGCCTCTATCCCAAGAAAGGCATTACAATGAGAAGGCAAGGTTTACATAAATGGTCTTCATGCACAGCAAAGGGGAATACGTCAGTCTTTGCTCCCGTTGCTTAATATTATTTCATTAAACTTAAATCATGAAAACAAAGCAAGGCTCTCACCTCAAAGAACCACTCTGAATCAGTAAGCAGTAAGAACTGCTAGTGAATAAAACAAGAGATTTGTGTTTCTACATATAAAAACATACATATGCTGAGTGGTTTATAAACAGAGTTACAAAGTAGGCTGCAGCTGAGATGTGTTGCTTATTTCAGCTGTTGCATCTAGGTGGTATCAGAAAGGCTCTACGTCTGTAGGTTTTTTCTTTTTAGGAACAACTCACGGAAGTGATTTGGAAAACTGAGATAGAGGCAATTATGATAATATCTCATCCCTTAGCAGATACTATGTATTCTTCTCACACACTATTGTATTTTTTTAAATTAAAGCAGTTAAAAGAACAAAATCATATGGTGGAAACACCTTTAAGACACTTTTATTATCTGAGTGGAAACATCATGCACTACTTGATATCTGGATTTTTTTTTCTTTTTGTTTCAAACAGAAATGTTGCATTTTTAACATATCTATGGATTGCTTCTCATGCACTCTTTCGAATATACAGAACACACAAGCGGTACATTACTACATCATCTTTTTTTCTATGAGGACATCAAGATGGTTTTACTTATGCTGAGTGAATGCAATATATGAAATTTATGTAGTGTAGATAGACCATATATATAACTGTGTGTGTGAAAGTGTGTGCTTCACCTACACTGATTCGGTAGACGGCACACCGAAATTCCAGCAATATTTAATGCAATAAGTGGGCAAATTATGTCCGTATTTCTAAGAGAGATAACATGAGCTAGGAAGGGCTCTTCACTGAGAGTTTTGGTGTTGTACGCCACACTGTTCCATAACACACTCAGCACATTTCTGAACATCACACCCAATTAGAAACCTCTCTAAAATTTAGAATTTGACAAAAGAAATAAAACTTCAGAACCGGAAAACGGTTCTCACTACCCAATGACCGCATTTGATTGAAACAGAACTTAAGCATTTTCTGGTTTACGCACTGTTCTAAAAATTCTTCTCCATCTAACTAGGAAATCAAGAGGTATCTGTGTCTAGAGATTGTGTCACTGATCCACTAGTAAACATCCTCTGTAAAGTGACGTTAATGAACTTTTCTGCGCAGCTTGGAAATACGAAGTACGGGAAACACTGAAGATCCTCAAAGGTATACACGTGGTACACTGCAATTAGTTCTCCATCCAAGTACTACTTTTCTTCATAGTATTTGCTAATTTAATGTTACCACATTATAATTCAAGTAAGTAGCTAAGTGTTACTTCCTATTACATGCAATTTTATGCCCATTTTTTGACATTTCCTTAAGATAAAACCCACTTAATACAAGACTCCCTTTTCTTTGTTTGGTCCAGACTTTTTTGTTTGCAAAAAATTGTTAACTTCTAATTTAAATTTAAAGATCAGTGGTGCATGACAAAAATCTTTCTCATTCTGAACTGGTTCGGAGAAAACTCCAGGAACAAACTTGCCAACAGTTTCAAGTTGACAAGCAGGTATTCTTTATTGCAGCGCCGGGAGACACGGGGGATAGCTCCTCCTAACGTGTGTCCCCGAATTGCTATACAGGTCATCCTTATATGGTTACTGAGCATATTACATCATTTTCCAAAAGGTTTCCGGCATGCATACAAAAATGTGGTGGTCTTTAAAGGTCATTTACTTTTCCCAACAAGCTTAATTAACATTAGTAATAATAATTAATAACATAGCAATCATCCTGGCCTTCTACTTATCAGTTAGTTTAACTGCTCTCATCCTGGACATCTGCTAGTCCGGGATACTCCCCATCCCCAGGTCCTGTCCTTCTATTCTGCTTTTCTCACACCTTTTGTACTGAGGCTCTGAGGCCCTGAAACTAAGTCAACTACCTCCAAGCATCGCAGTTATTTTCCGTTACAAAGCCATCAAACTTAACGTTACTTAGAACTGATTACATGTTGTACTTTTGTGCCTCCTTGTCTCAGAACACAGACTTCTTTTGTGACCACTATGAAAATAAATCATCACGAAATAATACATAAACCACCAAGTCAAAAATGGTGTTTACAAAATCACCTGAAAATTAGATACGCAAAAGCACCAATACAGGAAGGTTACATGAGTGAATCTACTTTTCAAACATGCCCATCACCTCTGTATCTTGGGACAAGCTTTTTAATCATGCAATTACATGCAACTGTCACAGATGCACAGAATATGCTTACAGTAGTTTCCTGTGCACCTCCTTTCTGCACTTCTCTATTTATGCATAAACTACTACCTTATCAGAAATAATTGAAAAGTCTGAATGAGCAAAATAGGAGATGAACCACGACTTTCTGCTTTAAATTAAATGAAACCTGACTTTTGGAGTCATGACCCAAAAGATGCTGCATTGCATAAACTTATGTTAGCACTATACCCCTAAGTAAATAAAGATGTAACTTGTCTCCCTTTCAACTGCAATGTTAGAAAGGCTGACAGGGCTTCACAAAACCCTCCTGTGTTAGGGAACGGAAACTCCTAATGAGATTAGTTGGTGTGTGTGCAGACATTACTTAGCCATGACTAAATGGGCTCTCTTCCTGCAGCCAGTGGAAAATTCAGGGAACTTTTTCCCCCTGCAGCATCAGAGTCCCTCTAACCTTCAGCAAAGCTGGATCCAAAAACAACTCCACTTTCTCTCCCTTTCTCTAGCTCTTTTTTCTTTTTTTTTTTTTTTTTTCCTTTCCTTACAAACATTTTTAGTGTTTTTTTCGGTTGTTCGTGGAAACTCTCCACATCGGCCAAGGGGTCTTGGGGCAGGGGCTGGCTAAGAAAAGCGGGGAGGGGGAGGGCCGGGCAGAATGCAGAAGACTACAAAGGAAACTGTAAAAAGGAGCAAATACATAAACCTGAGAGGGAGAAAACCACAGAGTTTCTTTGTGAGCTGCAGTGACTCATTTTCAAGATGTTGTCTGCTGCCAGTTTCAAACCGGAAGCGCATGGCAATTAGTCTTGCTGTTTCCAGACAAGCCAGAAACTCTCCCGACACTTCCCTCCCCCCCCCCCCCTTTTTTTTTAAAGCCCCTTCTGCAGTTTCTGCAGGAACATTACCCTCCCTCCCTCCCCTTTCTCCATTCCCCCCAGCCCCACTCGGCGCCGGGGACCCCACGGCGCCCCCGCAGTCCTGACCGGCACCCGGGCGGCCCCCGCCGCCCCAAACGCCGCTATCACGAAGCTGCTCGCTCCGGGCAGGCCCGCGCGGCCCCGGCAGCCGGACACGACCCGGCACCGCTGAGGGAGCTGCGGGCGGCGGGGGTCCCGGGGCTCCCCCCGATTCGCTGCTCCCTGTCAGGCAGCACACACCCCCCCCCCCCAGCCTCTCCTCACACCCCGACCCCTCCCGTGCCTGCTCCCCAACAGACGCTCCGTCCTCTCACCTACACCCGCCGCTCCCGGGGGCTGGCGGGGCCCCCTGAGGCAGCAGAACCCCCCCTTCCAGCGCCCTCCACCCGCCGCTCCCTGACCGCCACCCCCTGCCCCCACCACGGCAGCGCTGGCCGGGCCCGACCCCAGGGCAGGACCCCCGGGACCCCAGGCCCAGTGTGGGGCTCCACGCTGCCCCTCGGCGCTGCTCACCGCCAGCACCGCTTCCCCGCCGTCGAGGGGTGCACCGAACCCCGCGGCAGCCGCCGGCCTCCCCTTCACTCCCCTTCCCGCAGCCCCCGAAACTTCGCGGGAGTCGGGGCAGGCGCAGCAGCACTTGTACCTACCCAGCGGCTGAGGGACTTCTCCGCTCTCTCCTGGTAGTTTAGAGGGAGCCGGGTAAAATCCCCCGGTTCTCCATGCTGACAGTCTTCTGCAAACGCTCTGTTGCTCTTGTAATGAGATCCTGATTTTACTTTTTTTTTTCCTCCTTTTTTTTCTCCTTTTTTTTTCCCCTTCGGCCGGGTGTGTGTGTGTGTGTGTGTGTGTGTGTGTGTATGTGTGCGTGTGTGCCCGTGTGAGAGAGCGAGCAGGAAGTCAGAGCAGTCAGACAGAGAGCCGGCTCACTTCCTTTCCTGCATTATTCCCCAGGCGGTTTGCAGTCTGTGTAAACAGGCTTTTCCTCCCCTCTCCCCTCGCTCTGGCCACTGATGTGCAGCATGGCTGTAATATAAGACACACACATAGTAAAACGGGTAACGGTAACTCCGCAGGCTCTCAAGGAGCTCCGCCGGCTCCCCCGACCTCCACCTCTTCCTGTGCTACACCCCTGGGGAGGAGCTTCCCGACAGACCAGCGCTTGGCCCACCGGTGCTTCTCGCCTTCCCGCTCGTCCAAGTGCTTTCCCAAAAGCGTAGAATCATGGAAGAGCTTGGGTTAGAAGGTACCTTCAAAGGTCCTCTAGTCGAACTCCCCTGCAGTGAGCAGGGATGTCTTCAACTAGATCAGGTTGCTCAGAACCACGTCCAGCCTGGCCTTGGATGTCTCCAGGGTTGGCACATCTACCATGCATTTTATCCCCAGGTGACAGCTGGGATACGGGTATGAGATGCTTACAAGCAGTGCTTTGTCCTCCCAGAGCATCAGGAGGGGCCTCAGTGAGGCATTGGCCTTGGTAAAGGTGTCTGTTCTTGTGCCACCACGCTGGGGGCTCAGATGCTGGTGAAGCAAGGTGTTGGGTGCCTCCACTTCAGGTCAGTGGAGGTTGAAGGGCTGGTGGTGTGTGGGATCTTGCTGGATGCGCTGGCCACCTTCCGGAGCTGCACCTCATGCAGATGGCTAAATACAGAAACAGTGCCCCATTGCACAACATAGATTGAAAGTCAAGGGGTTCTCAAATAATCAAATTCAAGCCAGGTCTTCCAGCTTCACATCATACCTCAGAGACAGACCAGGCAGTGCCAGCTGGATAATTGGGATTTAGGTTCTGACCCTCAAGTTGTAGATCTCAGAATAAAAGTGTTGGTTTGGATTTATTGAAGGGCACACATTTCCAGTATTTTGAGTTTGCATCCTTTGTGTCTTCACTTGTGTCTCATAGATCTGCATTGTACTATTTCTAACTTCATTTGGAAATTCTCAAAGTGAGTGACATTATCTTCTCTCTGACCAATGCATCAGTGATGTTCAATGCATAACGATTTAAAATCGTTACTGCACAGCTATTTAACAGTCACAAGATTTATCAATCCAGCCCAATAACTGCAGTTCAGGATGTTCTTGACATGCATTGGCACAGAAGCAATGATTTTTTTTTCATCACTCCATTGGGATTTTGCTTACGGTGTCACTGGGAATGAAAGCATGCTCTGATGGAATTAAAAAGGTCGTCACAGTTGGCCCCTGAGCATTAGTCAGTAGCATCTGAACAGCTGGTGGTGAGCAAATTGCAGGTCCCTTGTGGAAGTCCATCAGGGTTCTTCCTTCTTGCTTTCTAACATGAAGGAGCAAGAATACGGTACTGGTGCAGTAACTTTAACTTTCCTGAAATAATTCCTTTTAGAAGTCACTCTGAATTTTAGAATGTAGATGTGAGGTCTGCTAAATCCTCATTTTGTGTTTCCCAAATACAGAATCATTAAAATGCTTAATTTGAGACAGTGTATTTCCTAGATCAAAACACAGTGGACAATGTCCTTGCTGGAAGTGTTAGGACACAGGAATCAATCTTTGTTTGTGAACTACAACTGAAGACCCAGATTTGCAAAACTAGGGCAGACAGAGGAGCTCTTATGGTGCTGATATACCACGTTTGACTGACAGCTGGGGGTACCAGCATTGGTCTTTCACGTTTAATGTTCATTGACTTTGTGAACAAGAGATGAAGCAGAGATACTCCAGAGTTGCCTTGAATGGTTATTGGTGGGTGTGGAGATCTGAGAACAAACTCTCAAAAACAGTATAACTTCTTTTCTTTTACAAAAAGTAAACACTTTAAAGAGATGTTTAAAGCTTGAAATGTTTCTGATATTTATTATGCTGTAACTTGGTTGACAGCACTGGAATTTCTTTGACAGCACCAGCCTTACTTTTGTCTAGATAGTGAGGTAGAAACCTAAACCAAGCTGCTGGAGGCTGGATGACCACTAGATGAGAGCTCTTCATATTACCTTATAGATGCTGGAGAAGAAAGTGCAGAACTTGTTTAATGGAATACAGCCATCAGGATATGCTGAGGAATTCCAAAAGCTCTGACGAATGTGGAAGAAAATGGGAGCTCTTGGCCAGGGCTACTGATTCTAGCACTATGGATGTCATTGGGAAAATACTTTTTGAAATTACATCCATGTTCTTTATAACAGCACTGTACTTAACAGAATGGTTACTGAAACTCTCATCTGCGGTATCTGCCTGGCTAATTTAATGTAGATTTACAGTTATCCTTACGGATTATTTTACACAAAAGTACAAAAGGATGAGTAAAGAAAACTGCAGATTTGCATTGCATAAGAGCCTTTTTCTTCTGCAAAAGCAGTTTCACTCAGAAAACCTGTTTGTTAACGTAGTCATTAAAATGCTAGTTATTTTGTTGGTAGAGTCAATGTCTGTGTCTCAATTCACATCCATTCATCAGCACATATTATCATTACAACTGTTATTTCTAAAGCCCTAGTCCTGTCCCCAAGCTGTGAAGATTTGGGGTTTTAACTTTGGAAATTGTTGTTCATTGCTCAGAGTTGGTCCAGACAACAGCTGTTGCATTCATGAAGGACTAAGTGTAACTAGAGAAAGCTCCCCTTCAACAAGTAAGGCAGGTTACCGCTGCTGAAAGACCTAATCCGGTGGGTTCAGGCAATCCTTGAACAAACATATGCACCCAGGATGTCCCTGTGTCCTGTTTATCTAAGGATAGTAGAGTTTGTAGAAGAGCCTGTATTTATAAACCTGTCCTTCTGTTGAAAAAAATCACCCTAAAGCATTCCCGAGCTTAGTGACTATAATTCTGGCTAATTTTTATTAGATTACATCAATTAAGAAACCAGGCTTTGTCTGTCCTTTCAGATTGTTTCTACCATATTTTTAAATTGTTCATAAATCTCATGTGCTGCTGTAATTAACCACTCTAAAAGAAAGAAACAAAAAAATGAAGGCAAATTTGCTGTGCTCCAGAGATCTGTTTAAGCTCTTCAGGCTGAGGCTCATATCTGTGTTGGTGTAGGTTTATGAGTAATTTCACCCTGAGCCTTGAGTCCCACTGTAATTAAGTTATTAAATTAAATTAAATAATTGTAATGTCACTCTGTAGCACACAGTTTTCCTTAAACGTACATAGATGTTTATAATTATGTGTAATTATCAAGAACAAAGTTGAAAGCAGTTGGAAATAATTGTTGTTTTATTTAATATTTTAATTATGAATCTATTTAATGAATGTATACATTGTCTCACCCTCTCTAAACACTTTGTATTTCTTTCTAGATGACAGGCGCTGCAGTAAAGAGGCTTCAGATTTGTGTCTGCCTTTATGACAACCAACACAATGGATCCTGTGGGAGAATCACTCGTAACCATTCTTCTCTCTTATTTTCTACTAATTCTAGCTTGAATAACCACCTGCCAGGCTACAGGGGGATTTCCAGGGGATTTTGGAAAGTGGGTATATAGAAACTAATTACAGAAGTAGGAATGATGGCCTAATTCACGTAGGATTCTTGGTTGCCCTTCACAACATACTATTTAAATGCCTTGCAAATGTTGCATCGCTATTGACGAATATTCCTTTAGCAGGTTTGGCTTTTCTCTTTCACACTTTCCTGTAGCTGGACAAACATGGGCTTCAGAGCCAACAACTTCATTATTGCAAAAAATCCCGGGGGATCCATACTGCTCACAAAGTGTTCAGGTCCTCAGTTTTATCTCATCTCACAGCCAGCTCCACTGGCAAGAAAAGTGCTGTCTGCAGTACTGTAAAGTGCTACCTCCAGGGTGTAGCACTGACTGTAAGCCCAGGGAAACTCGACTGCGCATTGTTCCCTGACAAGCATTATTTCTTCCTGGGGTTTTTGCTGAGCTATCTGGAGTAAAATTGTGAGCTTTAGAAAAATTTTTAGATGGAAGACATCAACAGAACTGTGTTTGATGTTGAGAAACCTCTTGTTCAAAGTTGGATCAGATGAGTCAGTAAAAAAATTGCATGTCATCATCAGAAGGTTCGAAACCTCATGCCACACTTTCTGGAACAAAGAAATTCTGCAAGTTTTAACCTCAACTATTTTCTGTTAGAAGCAGGAGAAGGGTGTTTCTTCACACCATGAAACAAGTATCCTGTGCAGATGGTATGACCTTGGCAAGAAAGCGGGAGCCTCTTCCATCCTCCCAGGGACTTCTGTCTTCCTCCAGGACCATGTTGCAGTCCCTTGTGACAGGCTGTGAATGAGAATTACTGCTGGGCTGCAATTAGAAATCTTCCCTCAGTCTTAAGGGAATGATGTTTTGGAGACCTCAAGGATTTCTTCCTCTCCCCTACCCACACCCGGAAGGCTGTGGTGTTTGATCAGGAAGGAGTGTTTGGGGGAAATTACTGCTTTTGCACTCCTCTTCCTCTGGCACATTTTTGCTTTCCGGAATGTTTTGCTTTCCCTGTATGTTGTGGAAGAAAGCACATGACCCAACATGTTTGAAGTAAAAGCATCACTTGTGTGTACAATTTCATTAGGTTTGCATTCTTAATGAAAGATTTATAAGGAATTACCTTCTGTGTGCAGTGTAATTGCCGATGATTTTTTGTCATTTAAGGAATGCTGTGTTGCTGCGTGTTGAAGGAGCCTGTAGCACCTAAATGAGCAACCCATGAAAACAGGGAAAGAGGATTCCAAGAACCTTTGCATAACCGTGAGGACTAAGTTAACTGGAAAGATTAACTACTTCAGAGGTCACTGTGCTTCTCTGAAATCCGTCAATCAGTTTTACTGCAATTTCTTTTCCAAGCTAATTAATTAAA